AAATAAGTTAGCTAACAGATGCTAAGATAGATCCAATGTAAATCGCTATGTTTAGTGGTAGAATCCCTCAAACCTTTGGTGGCCATGGTGGCCATGGTGGAATGGATTGAAGCTGCGCCAAGGAAGGCTTCTACATTGATGAACCAGGATGCAAGGCTCGATCAAATCATCCTTTTTATTGGTGGCTTGAGATTGTGCAACCCAGTTGGCGTACGTGGTTTAGATGTTTGATATGTTTATTTTTGTTTATATATATATATATAGTATATATATATGTGTGTGTGTGTTTATATATGTCTATATGTGTTTATATATGTTTGTATGTGTTTATATATGTTTATATGTGTGTTTATATATTATGTTTATATACATATATATGCTCCAGCGTTCCAACCCCCCTCCCTCCCGCCCCCGCCATGGTCATGGGTCAGCCATAGTACTGTCCCCCTCCCCGCCCTGTGGTGTGGTGAGGGTGTGGTACTGTCCCCCTCCCCCTCTGTGGTGTGGTGTGGGTGTGGTACTGTGTGTATATATATATGTATGTATGTATGTATGTATGTAAGTATGTATGTATGTATGTATATATATATATATGTATATATATATGTGTAAATATGTATGTATATATATATATACATATGCTTATGTTATATACACATATATATATATATGTGTGTTTACATATATATATATATACATATGTGAATATGTATTTATGTGTATATATATATGTATACATGTATATTTAGATACGAATATGTATGTATATATATAAATATGTGTGTGTGCCTATGTATATATGTATATGCATGTACCTTTAATATGTGTATATATACTTATATTTAGGAAGTAGATACATAGCACATGTATATTTGACTATAGATAGCACGTAGGTACTTTGAGGGAGTATGTGTGCTACGTAGGTCATCTAAAAGGTATTATGTACCTAGTAAATGCGAGGCAGGTAGTCAGAACCGCTGCAAAAACCTAGCAAATAGGAGGCCTGACCTCAGAAATGCTGCCAATAGCCCAATAGCTTGCAAATAGAAGTGAAGGGGGTGCTACCTCGGGACCCATTGGCGAGGGGGGTAGGAACACGGAACACGAGACCATATATATAGGTATATATGTGTTTATGTATTATAATTTACATATGTTTACATCTGTTTATATGTGTTTATATGTGTTTATATTGATATGTTTATATATTGTATTTGTTTATATATATATATATATGAATGTTTATATATATATGAATATTTATATTTATATATGTTTACCAGATACACCAAAGATCATGCAGATATGAATTTATATGCATTTTTACCTGCATGTGCAGTGTGCACAACACCCTCATATTTTTGAGAGCTTGGAATCTTCATGTCCACAGAAGGAAAAGACAACATAGAGGGGTCCTGGCATACATGTCTAGATTAGTCATCCTGAAGTCCTGAAGTAGAATATTCCCCAGCAAAAATTACTTAATATCATCCACCTATTGGTTGCTTTTCATAGGGGGAAACCTCTATGACTATTTGTTGATCAACGCACCATTTGTCGATGGTCAGAACTACTTATCTCGATGGTTCTTGGTTGGATCCCCCGAAAGTTTGCCATGGTAATCTCCGACAGAAATCCGTGGATCCATGGCTTAAACCATGGTAAAATCACTAAAATATGTTTCCTGGTTTCCACTTGGAAGGCCATTGCAGCCGACCAGAAGTGTGGAGGCGCCGTTGCTTCAACCCATGGGGGTGGTAAACATTAAACATAGGCTGGGTTCCACCCATGAAGCCACAAGGGAGATAAATGTATGTACCGTTTTACCCCTGAAAATCCTGGAGTTGGAATAGAGGTATCCTTCCAGCTGGTATTAAACACCCGGAAACTATAATGTCTACAGATCGAAGGATCTTGCAACGCTGCAGAGACCTCGGGCCCACATCACAGGCAGCGTATGCCATGGCCACTTTGTGCTGTTCAGTGTATCTTCCCAGGACCTCCCAAAAGACTCGACTACAATGATCGAGCTCATCGGGCATGCACTGACTCTGTTGCAAGGCCGTGGTGTGAACCTCCGAGCTTCATCTATTGTCGTGCAGTGTGACAATACACCGCGCGAGCTGAAAAACAATCCTGTCTTCAAGTTTCTGGGAGGTTTAGTTAAATGGCATTGTTGCCCAATCAGCATTGTCTTCGCTGAGAACTGGACACAGCCATGAGGATATAGATCAATGCTTTGGCCAGCTCGCAAAGTATTTGGCCACGGAAGTCATGGATGTACGGGATTTACACAGATTTGGGCACTTAAAATGGGGTTGTGTGATATCAAGGTATGGGATTGTCATGGGATGCGTTGTGTCGATGATTTCTTGATGATCCCCTGGGAGGATTTGTTCCACTGGGACCGGGGAATCTATAGTCCATTTATGTTCTTTTTTTGGGGGGTGCTCAAGCAAATCCAAGTTTTTATGAAGTTTATGTCTATCCATGTACCCTC